ATCGCGATTCGTACCTAGGTTGATTAGCATTCTTTTGTTTGACGCTGTCTCATATATAGAATCAAGGTACTCAGACTTATACCGAATATATACCCTTTAGATTTCCATATATTATATTTGTCTCTACCTTTTAATGTATGGCCAGCAGCGCACATGTACAATGGAATCCCTTTATATGGAATGTTGGAATTTTGATACTTAAGAATACACCATACACTGGGTGCAATTTGAATTTCCAATAATTGGACCGTACACAAGATTTCAGTACTTGCCTTCTTCTAGCTGCGCTTTGGTGATTTGCAAACCTACCTCTACCGAAACGCCAAATCGCGCTTGGTAGCTGCATTGTCGGACGTGATATTGTCTCTATATTGCGATTACCCTTGAGGCAGAAGCTCTGTAATTTTACAAAATTGAGTCCTACGCACTTAAAGAGCTAAATATTGTAGAGTTAAGGTATCCGGGATGTTGAATAATAATTGGTGGGATTTTTCCTTAAATGTGCAGGGATAACCTTTTTAAATTAGTGTTCACCTTTATAACTTTTAAGGGGGGTGGGGGGACATTCAGCGTATCGTGCGGCTCGCGGTTCATTTAGGAAGTCAAAAAATTGAAGGCGGTGAGTGAACCATCAACTATGGTGGCGCTGTTTAAGGATCTTGCTAGTACGGCAGAGAATGTTTTGCGCGATGACTACGATTTCTCCCGTAAACTCAAAATCAAGAGCAAGGCGTCAAATGGTGTGACGTTTACCACAGAAGGCGCGCTGAACACCAACAAGTCGATCCTTGCAAAGGTCTCAGGCGGCTTCACGCACAGCGCGAGCGGTGTAGTGTTCAAGAAACTTCAAATCACAACTCAGGGCCGGTTTATCACGGAAGCTGAGTTGCCCAACGTTTTGACTGAGGGATTGAAGCTTACATTTAAGCTTGAGGACGGCTCCATCACCAAGAACACGAGTGCTAAGCAGGTGGGCGTGCTCGGCGCGGAGTACAAACAAAAGAACCTGTCTTTCAACTCGGAAGCAGACTTTGTGTCCAACACTGTATCTGCTTCTGCTGTGCTCTCACAAAATGGCTTTGCAGTCGGTGGTCAGACCGCGTTTAACGTGGACAAGTCAGCCATTGTTCAGCATAACGTGGGCCTGAGTTACACGGGTGCTGACTACGTCACGACGCTCGTGACCAAGAAGAATTTTGGCGCGGTGCAGGCTTCATTCCATCACCATCTTTCGCACCACACCGTTTACGCTGCTGTGCTGGATTACGACCTAAAATCGGCCTCTAACACGCTGGTCGTGGGTGGTCGCTACAAGGTTGATAACGATACAACTTACTGTGGTAAGATCAATTCGGAAGGATTTTTGTCGCTGGCCTCAATCCAGAGGGTGCGTCCGTATGTCACACTGACTACCAGTGTGCATGTGGACGCAAAGAATTTTGAGGGTGACTCGCACAAGTTTGGCCTTGGCCTGACGCTAGGCTAAGTCTCCCACACTTACGCTTTTTGGCAGAGCAAAGATTAGTTGAAGCTGGCGATAGTGAAGAGGATGAAGGGAGGTGATTGTTGGAAAACATGATAAAAAAGTGTCGACATCTTCTTTGATCTATGCATCTTTGTTAACTTTGATATGATCTCTGGCTAATAGAAAATTGATGTACGAAGTCCACCGCAGAGGGTGTAGTTTAACTCTTAGCTCGCACACCAACATTTGAGCGTCGTTGCTTACCCACGCGTTTTAAGTAATCCACGAATGTAAGCTCATCACTTTCGCCGAATAGCTGTTTCATACGCATTTCAAGCTGCGTTTGGCCATAACGCGCGAAGAGAATAGCCATAGTGTCGTCTGCAGTGATAACTCCACAATTTTTTTTGTCGTACGTCATATATTGGACGACGTTGAAAAGATTGGCTGGCTCCAGCTCCGTTCTGTCCAGCAAGTTGCGATTAAACATAGCACGCAACTCTTCCCAGTCCACGACACCATCTAAATTCTCGTCAGCTTCCCAAATCATGTCGTTTATTTCCTTCTTTGAGCAAACCTTGCCCATGGCTTTGATGGCTTCGAACAAGTCTTCATTTTTGATCGTGCGATGGTGCGAGCTGCTATTCTGTATTAATGCTTGATCGCCTATAGCCTTTTCTAAAATCTGATCGACCTTGCGGAGCTCGACCTCAATTTTTTCATATGCTTCCTTCTCGTTCAATGATGCTGACTTCTCGAAATGACTTCTACTGCCCTCCAATTGCAGACGTCGCTCTTTGCAGTCGTTGATTATGCTAGCCAATTTTTTTCTCTGACGGTAACAGCACAGGTAGTCAAACACCCGCCGCAACTCTCGCTCTTCTTGAGCTATCATACCCTTAGCGTCGCCATTTAAAGACATCATGTTTATTGTGTTTATCGACTTGTTCAAGTGTAAATTTTGGCACGATCAAGGTTTTCGACGGAATTAGTCACTTCCCGGACGCTATATTTGGTCATGAGGGCGTGACCCTAGCATAATTTTGATGCATATAATTGCGCAACATGTTCAACTCAGGTGTTTATTTCTCTTTTATTCAAGATTCAGTGGCATCTTCTACAAGTCGCGACACCATGGCATCAATGTGGCCAGGAGACATCGTCTCGGAGTTCAAAATGGCATTAGAAATGATCGTGATATTCTTTGTTGTCTTGGCATTGACCCACACGACACCATTGACGCCAATAGCTAACTCAAAAGCAAGCTTCATGCCTAAAGACGCTAAAACCTGGCAGTCTTCTCGCAAAAGAGACTTTGCCAGGCCAATCGATGTCTTAAATACGTGACCGTCGTTTAACTCGCCGTAAATAGCCAGTCCAGTCATCCAATCCTTCTTCGTAACACTTGGAGGAGCTTATATAATGTTATAAATACAAATGCATCAGCTCTCTGGAACACCATATTCAAATCCTGCTTGAATGGATGAAACGCGTTTAATCGCACCTTCGCATGTAATTTCAGGTTCCACGTTCGGATTGGACTTGCTCACACGAGCATACACAAGAGATCCCAGACGAAGGCTCGGGCGATTTCGTTTTGTTGCACCATCAAATGCAAGTGTACCTAATGTTGCACAAGCACTAATCGAAGCAGCATACAACCGTCAGCACGAATCCATTGGTGAGGAAGTGTCTCAACAACGTACGCTGCTCCAATGTTCACACGATAGAAATCAGCATTGCGGTCAGTCACAATGCCAATAACATTGTCATCCATCGAGACGGTGTACTGTTAAGATAAACATCAAGTTACAAATTGGAGTTCCATTGCGCTGTAGCAGACACGCACGCGCTTGTAGTTGTAGTCGATCCAGTAACGATTAGACGGTCGATAGCGCAAAACACCAGCGTTTGTGCAAACAATTCGCTCGTCGTGTAATTGCTTTAGCCCAGCACCTGCTCACATAAATACAAAATAAATCACTAATCAGAAACTTTACGTCGCGTTCATTCATAGCCACTCACCAAGTTTGACACGACGGGTAGTTTTTGTGACTGTTGTTGTGACGTCATCGCCAGGAAGCACTACGAATGGTGTAAAGACAAAATTTACAGAGCGTCGGGCTTCCTCTAAGAAGCTGTTGGCGTCCTCACTAGCCTTATCCTCCACAGTTTCGGGCCGGATTACTTGCGGCATGGTCAAATTTACTTGTAATTAGGATTGTTCGCTTAGGTGCGGTATGTACGATGCAAGAACTAATGAGCTCGAACAGAGAAAGACCTTTTAATTTAAAGAGAGCCAAATGCCTACATCAGCATGTATCGCATATCTTACGAATGGCAACTCTAATGTCACCATATTCTGCTGCATCTGATATTGTGTGCTTCAATGCAATTATCCTTCAAGTCACGCCAACATCACTCTATCCAGAGTCGTCAAATTTAGTGCTGAGAATCTACAATGGACGACCTCGTCCACGCCCGCGACCGCGGCCACGACCACGTCCACTTCCAATTGAAGCACCTGCTTTCACCTTCTCACGTGGGGTGTCATCGATCAGCAGAGTGTCAAGATTCAGCGAGTCCGGCAGTATATAGTAGCGAATATTGTTGCCACGGATACTCAATGAGTCCAAATTCACAGGATTCTTGCCCTTCACGGTCATCTTAACCGCCTTTAAATGTGTATTCATGCTAATGTCCACGCCTACCGCACAGCCACAATACCGAATGTAAGGATGAAATGCTACAGCGAGATAAAGCAGGATGATTGTATAAAGTGTCCGCACCAGTGATAGTACCATGCACAATCGTTCCGTTTTTAAGTTCAATTGTGACCGTCTCATTTGCCAGCTTCATTAAGAACCTGCGATATATTGGCGGCAAGAGAAAAATAGACCATTAAGAAAAGAAGCTACGTATTGCAATACGGTATGCGCGAGACTTGTGTCAATCCCTTCAGCGGCGTCTACGCACCTGACGAGCTTCATGGTGACCACACGGAAATCTGCAAATATAATAGATTGGAAAACCACACCACTTTACCCTAGAAATTATGTACTCAAAACGTGGAGCAAATTTTAGCAAAAAAACAACTTTGAAGGGTTTCATAGTCATATACAATTATTTAAATAGTAAAGAAAGTAGATTAAGATCATCAGACCCCCGTTTAATCTCATCAGCAAGTGTTTGTCTCCTCCAGGTACGTGACAAACGATTCCGGGCATTAGGCCGCCAGTTGCTTTTTATCCATGAAGACAAGAGCTCAAAACATTGTCTTGCTTACTTGGGATAAGGTAAAGAAATATTTCTTGCCTATCTTCACAGAAGTTATTTACAAACAAAGTCCTGGCGAGATGCAACGCCTGCAGCGCTTCAGATCCGGACAAGTGCTTGATTAGCATTCAGTCTGCGAGGAGGTTCTATGGACGATCTGCTCAATTAGCTTTCGCTATGCCTGTAAAGGGGTAAATGTTGTACGAAATGATTATTGCACTTAATAATAATAAGTACCAAAGTATTGATATTAATGCGAATTATGGAATTCTGTGAAGTAGAAAACACCAGCAAAACGAGATAAAGACATTTTTACTTTTGGGATATGGTAAAATGTATATACTCTAAACAGCACTAAATCGCACTTTGATTTAAAGGAGCGAATAAAGTACCTTGTAACTTTAGAGGCTCTCAATTTTGCTCCTGAGTTTGTACGCTCCAGTTAAGCTCCGGATAGAGTGCACGGCAAAAATACATCAATGAAGTCAGTTCCACGACCAAGTCGTGAAATAACGGCCCCCTATGTGAAGTTGAGATACGATACGTTTGAGTAACTGTCCCTGGAACAACCAGACGTAGCGGAAAAGCTTATGTCGTTGATTAGATCAATAGAGGTCAGGAAACGAACGACTCGAGGTCCGGTGGTCCAATGCGGTAACCGCTAGCCTGAATGCATTTATTAGGTATGGAACGCGCAACTTAGAAACATCAAGAATTGCCATAACCAGGCGTGAGTTTGAGGATAGATGACACACACCGCAGGGCCGTTGATATTAAGCGGTCAGCGATCTTAGAGCAGGGACCGAGAAAACCTCACTTTTTATGAACAAAAAATCTTGATGTGGCTATGAAATCGGTCATGATTCATGCAAAACACCAGCTCGTCACGCTTGCGGTCTCCAAGCTAGAAGTGGTAGTCCCGCCACGTAGTGGCTTTTTGTTACAGTGTAGCCACACCATTGTGTGATTACACCAACTTGTGTAATCTACACCTCTTTACGATCACACAAGATGGTTTGACCCACCCTTTCATACCAGGGTACATGTAACCCCGTTACACAATACCATTAGTTTTAAACAATGGCTCATTGTCGCACCTGCCTTTCGAGCTCCGCTCCAAGCGCCTAGCAATATCATCGCTGATTAGATTAGATCATATTGCACAGTCGGCGCCTTCATACATTCACTTCAAGGCTTAGCAAAAGCTTTGACACATTAACCAGTTTTCCAGTTCCAAGATGCACGGTTCTCATATCCGTATTCTGTACCTTCGTTGCCCCGCGGACTGTATGCGCTGATTTTGACAGTCGCACAATACACGCCGTCACACGTCGCTCACAACTTAAGCATTCATGCTTTCACAGATCCAAGACGTTGATGCCAGCCTCAACAAACTTAGGCTGTAAGTTTCACCGCTCTTAGAAGGAGTCGCTTCTGTAAACTGGGTCATATTGATCACGACCTTTTTAGCAGAACAAACAAAGATTTTTTTCACTAGACCATCTTGAACTTGAGGTTTTTTCTCGAGGATTTTACGGGAGCCTGACCTTCGATATTTGAGCCGAGAAGCATGCAAGGTTCGGAGCTTTTGTAATACGACAATTTCCTATTTGCGAGTACCACGGAGCTTCTCGGCATCTGATCGATCTTTTGTCTCCTCCCAGTATGGTGAATATCCATTGCCTTGGCGCGCACATAGAGCTTTCACTATTGGGTACATCATTTCCTTTACCAACGGATAGTACGGATCCGAAGGATCCTTCAGGATCGCAAATCCACTTCGTATGTTCAGCACCCTCTTGATGTACTTCAGGGCTGCTTCATCCAGAAGAGACGACAAGTTAATTTTCTCGTTAGGTCGTATAGTGACCACCTCAGCTAGATCGCCTGCCTTTCAGGCACTCCAAACTCTTCGAAGGACATCTCGTCCATATCTTGAATAGCATCCGCCGCAGAAATAGCCTCGAGGGTGATATCGCCGTCTCTCTCTCTCTTCATACCGTTGACAAGGGTGTAGATCTGTGAGCTGTTGTCAACGGTAGACACAGTCTCCAAAGACCCGCCGTCGGTCCTACCTCCGGACCAAGATGTGCGTCATGAGATTGACCTGGTTCCGGAAACCAAATACTGCGTAACACGCCAATGGCTTTGCCCAAGGAGCAGTGTGACGTCATTGACGCCTTTATCGTGCAAAGCACGACGCAGGAATTGTGCGTGAGAGCAAGTCTTCCCATTCGACATCCACGTTTTGTGTTTGGAAGCCGAACGGCACGTGGCGTATCCCTCACGCTTACAATAAGACGCCGATTCCCACGAAGGATCTTCTCCAGAACAACATGGTTGGATGTACAAAAGACAGATCACTCGACTTGGTCAATGGTTATTACCATTTGCTCATGAGAGCGATGGTCTTCCGCTGACATAGGTGAGTATACGAGCGGCCTGCTCTGGGAGTGGAGGATGATGCCCCAAGAGCTATCAGATTCACCAGCAACATCGTTTCGTCTTGCGATGCAGTTGGTCAGGCTCCATTGGGCGTATGCAAAGGCATACTTCGACGACATCTTCGTCGACAGTCGTGCGGGGGCACAGGAGGAGGATGAGGAAAACCACATCGTCCATTCAAGAGCGGTGTTCGAGTGCATGCGCGCGAATAAGCTGTATGCTGATGCCTATAAGACATTTTTGGCGGGGAAGAAATTCCTTTTTAGGGTGCTC